ATATCAAATACTATAATATTATATACCTAAAGAAAATCATATTCTGTGTTGAGTCATTGCAAATTTTTTTTAGAAATACCCTCATCCCTTTAGACTTTACCATTATAAAACATATAGTACATAACATTTTTTATATTCATAATATTTTATTTATGGTTAAATGAAAATTAATTAAATAAATAATCATATTACACACAGAATAATTATTACAACGTAGTACTGAGTGCTATCAACGTGCCACATCTAATTTATAAAGATTCTTAGAACAGGGGGTGAATAAACACCACCAGGCGCAGGAGGCGTGCGTGGTGTCAAATATCCACGTTCTTGTTATACTAATTTGTGACTTATGCCGTAATAATAAGATTTAAATTATATAAAAACACCGAGGGATGAGATAGATGAATCTAGCGTTTAGATTTCAAAACGTTAGTTCAAGGATTATTTACTGTTATTTTATACATGTTGAACCATTTAAGATATGCGCTTTAATTTAGACTAACGACTTGTTCCGGCTTCGTCCTGTCTATTATGTAATATAAGTTTTAACACTTTTAAAAAAATATAATTTACCACGTAATAGGTAACTCTGGGACTCTCCTTTTGGTTCTATTGACAATGTTCTTCTGCATTAGTTGGCAGAGAAAGAAAATAATTTTCGTACAATTAATATAATAAACTAAATCGATTAAAAATCGATTTCCATACAAATTTTAATACTCTAACTCTTTGATATCCTTAATTATTAGTTGTCATTAAAGGAATAGTTATTATATTAAGTCCAAAAACTGTTAAGGCTCAATTTAATACCAACTATTACTAAAGTAAGTAGCTAAAACCAGCCTCGCTTCTAGCAATTTACCAAACTAACATCTTCAACATTATTTACCGATGGCGCTTTAAAACTAAATAATGTATTTTTTCTTCGTATTTCAATTTTAGAGCTGAATTTTTGTCAATTTATTAGTACCACATATAATTAAATAAAACTATTTTATCGCAGTATTATTAAAATTTTTGAAATGAAAATAGTTTTATATTATGAAAAATAGTAGTTATTTGTATTATGACAAATAGTTTACGTCCTTTTCTCAGACCTACTGAATATACACACAAAATTTTGTAAGAATCGGTCAAGCCGTTTCGGAGGAGTTTTGTTACAAACACTGTGACACGAGAATTTTATATATTAAGATAAAACTCTAAAAAACCCCCGTACAAAACCAACTCCAGTGACAGATTCCTTCATCTTTTAAACTTCAAGTATAATTACATAAATATATAACTAATTAATCTCAATTAAAGAATCACACTGCAAATATATTGCACGACCATCAGACGACCTTGGCCCACACTGCGCGGGCGCATCCGATGCACTGTATCTGACGGTACGAATTCAGAACAATCGTGTTAGAAATTGTATCGAATACATTTCATTTTAAGTGCTTCTAAAATTTTTATTTATCTAAATCTATTCATATAATAAAAAATCTAATTAAGTCGAATCTGTACATTCAATATTTTTTGGAAAATCTTGTTGATATTATTATTGATACGGAGACCGAATCCATTTTTTAAAATTTTGGTCTGTTTGTCTGTATATCTGTCTGTCTGGCTGACTGTCTGTTTGAGAACGCATCACGAATAAACCACTGGACAGATTTTAATGAAATTTGGTAAGATGATAGCTGGTTATCCGGATCAACATATAAAACACTTTTTACTGCGATAAAATATCACATTTCTGATAAATTTATATACTGACCGGAGCGAGGGTGAGCCGCTAGTCTATGATATAAAAATAACTGCCTTCATAATCCTTAGAATCCTTGAGAAAAAAGAAAATTGGTTTACTAGGAGAAAATCATTTTCTTATTTCAAGGCTAAATCGATTTTCTCGTGGCTTCCATTTATTGATAGAGAATTTGGGGAATAGTGTAATTTTAAATTTAATATTTATAAATAGGTACCTCATGTGACTTAATATTTCTTAAATATATTTTAGGATGTTATAGAAATAAAAATAGTATGTATTAGACATCAAAATAACAGAATAACATTCATCTGTCTGTTAGGGAATGTGATTGTTGATATTTTCAAACGACAATATACCGCAAACCATTTACGCAGCAAATAAGACAAAATTTTTACTGTATCTAAAATAAGTATCAAATCCCACGTATCATTTCTGCTTCCCCTTATTCTGAGGCCCAGAGCATGCGGAAAACGTTCTATTTAAATTCAATGTTGCATTAATTTGAGAATTTAAACAGATTAGCGACACTTATATTCGCCCTTTGCGACGCAAGACCGTGATATTTAATAGCCGACATTAATTCAGATGTTTCCGCGATGTTTTAATCTTTAGTATAGATTTCTCAGAGATATTTTCCCGCAGTAAAAAGTATCTTATATGTTGACTCGGATAACCCAAAATTTTTACAAACTGTAGATTCGGCCTCTGTATCGATAATAATGACTATTTCAATAAGATTTTCCAAAAAATATTTATTGTACAGATTCGACCCAGTTAGAATTTTATTAATGTGTAGGTATAGATCACGTGCCATCCTTACATTTTTAATATTTTAATGTCAAGAATTTGTATTTCAGTACTGTTTTATTTTGTATGTTCATTGTTATAATCCTCACTTATATCATAAAGAGGTAAAGTTTGTGAGTTTGAATGTTGGGGGAAATCTCTAAAACTCTATATTTTGACAATAAAAATAACTATTGTAGTGGTAAATAAATATGTATGGACGTACGTATCTATGATGTTCGTCTGGATGTATCATTCCCATATATTTTTTAATTTTCTACTATTTATAATAACTGGCAACGAATCTCTGTAGAATTTAATATTATTAAATTTTATATATTAAATTACAAATTTACATTTACATTTAATTCAATTATTATAATTAGTATTTGAATAGCCTGGGTCATCAGATGTTTTAAAGCATATAGCGCGTTTCAGTAATATTCATTGTATGTAGGTAAAAAGTTACTCACTTCTCAGTCCTCTTTCCGTGCTCGAAATATCAATTGTATTCAAAATCAATCATCAAATTTAGAAAAAATATACTATTTAATACAAACGTAAAACATATTTTGACAAGAGGTTTTCTTTCGCTTTCTTATTTGCCTTCTAAAATTCAAATTTTAAATTTAGATTTACAGTAGTAGTGAGATCAACCCTATATATTATGTTCAGAAATTTTTATATTTTGTGACCATTCGATTTTTGGAAAAACAGACAAAACCACAGAAAGACAGACAAATAGACGCGTTATCCCATAAAGATTTATCTTATATAATACTTACTTGTATAATGTATTATTTTTCAACGGTATGTGTTTTAAATATAAAGTAAGTAGGCATACCTAGTACTTTAAAATGTAGCATGATCTGTATAAACATATGGAATCCAAAACGATCCAAGGGTGGCTTCCATATTGCGTGTTTTCACCGAAATTTCCTCGCCCATTTAGAATTTGATATGTTAAACAGTAGTATAGGAAATTCGTAACAGATCGATGCTTGCATTTACATATAGATAGAAAACAATTTCTAATATAAAGTATGCAGTGGCATGAGAATCGTGTAACACGTCATTTTGACACTAAATAATATTTATTGTATGTATTCGCTGATTGGTTCTCGAATATGAACACATTTTAAAGATATATCATCTCATTTTATACATATGTAATGGAGCATGCGATGGAGAGACTTAGGAAAATAGCAACCAATTGACAAAAAAATTACTACAAAATATACCTACTTAGAATTAAGGTTTGTTAAATTGAGAAATATTTATCTTACATTTAATGACATATATGTATAGTTTTAAACAACGTTTTATTTTTATACTAACACTTGCTCTTAGTAAAAGGCTTGTATGGAAAATATTCAAAAAAATGTCAGTTTCCTTGTTTGAGATACTAAGGATGTACCTATGTATTAATTTGACAGATTGTTAAATAAAAAAAACTATGTACCTAAATATATATTTCGATATTTATCTATAATATTTAAGTGTGTGGATACAGGGGGGAATAATATTTAAAAAGAACCGAACCATTATACTTATTGTTATAGAGAAAAATTAAAATACTTGCAAAATTAATATTTTAAAGGATACTTTAACATACGCATATATATATATATATATATATATATATATATATACTTTACTTTAATTTTACCCATACACTACATTAAATAATCCAGATCCAATGATCCAAGATTGGGATGACGAACAAAATACTTACTATTCTCAACTCACACCACAAAAATAAAAAGCCATTACACAAACAATTTAGGGCGCTAGACGCGTAAATATATAAATTAAATCGACCTCAAACTTCTTACACAAATTGCGTCCCATGACATCACTAGCGTGGACACCGGTCATTGACATGTCAAACTATTTCCGTAGTGCCAAAATAAAGATGCAATGGGGGTGTTACTGTGTTACCGCTGTTCTACTGCTACTTATCAGTTCTTACGCTATAAGTATAATCAGATGAAAACAATAAATTGTAGCGTCCTCTTTGCGGCCGTCCCAGGTTTCAAGTTACGGTTTGAGCAAAGGAACGTCTAAAATTACCCCGCACAAATACATGGGAGTACCTCGTATACACACGCACGCCGCGCACACGTCGACAGCTTATATCTATTATCAAAACATCCAACGACTCTGGTTACAGCGTTCGAGCGGATCGCATTTCACACTTTAATGGCTGGAAAAGGCCTCGAAAACGCGATATTACACGCATTTTATTGTAACGCAAAATGTAATTAATATTGTAATTGTATACTTTATAATTTATTCTTGAGCTTTCGTAGTTCGTACCCCTCGGATCAAATTTATAAATACGACCCGACGTGTCGCGTTACACGAGATGAAAACGGCCGCTTGCCAAGCAACTTGCGATGATGTCAATGCCGTAAAAGTATTGTAACAATACATTTTAATATTTTCATGTTTTTACCTTTATTTCTTCCTCGTTTTCCTTTTTCACTTTTGGTTTTGGAGATGGAGAGTTCGAACTTTTGTCCATTTTTGTATCTTAAATTCACTTTTGCACTATATATACTCATATATGGATGTAGGCTTTTAAAGTTTTTATTATCGTAGCGTAACTTTCACGTTCACGTAAACATTTACGATAAAAGTATTCACGTGCTCCTCATACGGCGTCCGAAGCGCGACTGAGCGTTAAGCATGGAAATGATTGCTACTTTTAAATCATTATCACGTGATGAAATTACAACAAATTTTCACGTGATTTCACCTGCTACTTTTCACGCATAGATTTTTGATTTCGACGGTCTGGTGTCACACTTTATATTATTTGCTATTAAAATGAAGTATGAAATGTCACCAATGGCGCTACTGATGTGATATGGAGCAGAGATATAGATCTGACGTAGTTGCATACGTACATGGTGCTTTGAATGAACCTATTTTCAAACAATGAACTTTCCCTCATACTTCTACAGGCTTGGGACTGACAATGTAAAATTAAATGAATTTTAAATATATCAGAGTAATCACACGGTAAAATTGTATTAAGCTAAGTTCCATAATTACATTGGCGTATTTAAAAGTTCATTGTTTTTATGTACAATAAGAATTTTTATAAAAGAATTTTATACACTTTTTTTTGTTTTTCTAAATTTTTTTAATTTGTGTATAATCATTTTTTTTGCTTTTTGATTTTTTTGATGATTGATTTTTTTATGAGATATCTATATACAATAGTCTTCATTGCTTTTTAAAAATACAAGTTCCGCTGTTCGTTTTCTGCTTAATCGTGCTCTTTTTTGGGTTGCAAAATTTCCCGCTTTTGAAAATACTCTCTCACACTCCACTGATGTCACCACGATGTGACAGTGCTCATGAAATATTTCCGCCAAATTGGGGTACATATAGGAGTGAGATTTCCACCAAACTAATGGCGAAGAATCGCGCGGAAGCACTGGTTCATTAATTTCTAGCTCGTTCTCAGCGTTGGTGGTTATGTCTGTACGTATTACACATAATCATTCAGTAAAAATTATAAGTATTTGTTGGATAAAAAACTAAAAATGTGCTCTAAATTTAATTGTTGTTTCTAATTTAAAATTATTTCTAAACAATATTTCTAAGAATCCGAAATCATGCAACTCGAAATAAATAAACTCCCCAATTTACTGATCAACGGTATTAACTGAAAATTGTATTTTGTTGAATAAAAAATCAATAAAAACATCAGTACGAAAATGTATACGGAAAATGCGAGTAACGAAATGCATTCGTGAGTAACGTTTCGGTACTCGGTACTAGATGGCGTACCCGTTACTCAGTAACGAATACATACGGTTTAGTTTAGTACAGCTCTAGATTTCACCAAGTTGTGATTTGTAGCAGCCACTATGAATTTAAGTAGCAGGTGTGACGTATGATTACGCATTTCACGTGATTTTTCACTTGCTACTCGTGAAATGTTCCATCCCTACTACGTACTCAAAATAATAGGTAGCCTTAAAAAAGTAAATACCCATGTCCACAAGAGAAGACAGTCAAAGCCAAAGGATTATATATCAAATTCAAAAACAGGAGTGCAATTATGCTTCTCCAGATTTTCCTTATTAAGTCTAATATTGTCTTGCCTTCAAATTTAAAGTGAATCTTTAGAATCGTTGTAATTTGAAACTCGATGAAATGCAACATTAAAAAGAGACAAACACAAATGTATAGGATTAAGCAGTATATAAGTGTATAATCTATGATTAAGCTGGTGAGACTGAAATAGACTACATTGTCATATTGCCATGGTAACCGTTTTTATTTGAGTTAAAATACGTTACACGAAAAATAATAAAATTCATTACTGAATAATACATGTAATGTATATTTAGTATGTCAAATAAAATGTAAAATAACTTTTAAACTTGGTAAATAATTAAAATAGTATAAAAAAATAAACCATATAATTATCCTACTCCTGATATTCTATATTCATCTCATTCTCTCGTAGGTTTCTTTTCTGAATGTTTACTTCTACCATGTATGAATTGCACACACACGCATTTTTTTTAAATACCAATTTGTGGAGATGATAGAAAAATTTAAAGTACTCATTTATTAATTGATTCTCGATATCATTTATCAGACATTTTAAATGGAAAAGTCACTTCTTGAGGGAAATAGTAGGTATTTGTAGGATGACACTAATAAAACTTCGAGATATTCCTTGTATCCTTGTATCCCTATTTTTATATTCAGTTCTTTTGAAGCATAATACTTTGAAGATTGTCAGTATAATCTATCCGTGAGGTAGCTACCAGTTATCACCGCTTCTAATGCAGTTCTGCTGAAAAGAGCTAGCGAGAAACTATAGGCAGTTGTTACTTGTTCTTTAAAATATTGAGATACAATAATAATTTCTAGTAGGTATTAAGTACAATCAATTTATAACTTTACAAATATATTTAATTATACATAATTATATACAAAACAAATGATAGCTATTGCCGATTCTTTGAGCGAGCCAGCTCTCTTGACACTAGTAGAGGCAACTTACAAATAGTCACCCTAAGGAGTTTATAATATCACCACATTTTTTTTAATAGGTACAATGACCAATGCACATTTGTATCGGTCAAGGCTCCAAAAACAAATGCTTAATATAAATTACTACAATGTATATTTAATTTCTTTCAATAAAAACTTATTTAATACTAGCGACTCACCCTCGCTTCGCTCGGGTTCGTCTCTAGCTTGCTTCCTAATACAAACTTTCATCCACATTTTTACCCCCTTAAGGGGTGATTTTCGGGGCAAAAAGTGTCCTATGTCCTCCCCAGGGTCTCAAACTCTTCTTACCAAATTTCATCTATATCGGTTCAGTAGATCCAGAGATTATACCCCCTACAACGTCACAAACTCACAAACTTTACCTCTTTTTAATATTAGTATAAATATATGTATGTATATAAAAAATGATACCGTACATATATTATGTTTCTCTAAATTTTTTATTACTATAATAGGTACTATGGAATATTTAAAATAGACTTTTAAGTGTTTGTTGTTTTTAATCTATTTGCTTTTTCTATAGGTACATATATCGTGTAAGGGAAAATTTGCGTCACACTAAATTATATCTGTATGTATTGAACCTATTCTATTGGTATGGCGTAGTCAGATTAATAATTCTATCAAATTGAAACTTTTTGGACCCATTGGAACGAATAGGTCATTTTCATGTTCATGTTTTCATTCGGAAATCATGAGTTAAAAAATGACTATTACAAATGTTTTTGGTTTAAAAAACAACATATTTTAATTGGTATAGCAAATAAGACTCACCACATAAATGTGATATTTATTTATTATTCATCGGACAAGTTCGATCAAAACGGTTGTTTTGCGATTACGCCTCCCACGATTTGGCCATCGATATATGATAGATCATTCATTACGCAATTCGACCCTTAAAGGTTATAATAGCCATACGGCATACCTACTATAAAATATGGCTCCTGTTCAAAATTATTAATAAATTACAAGTAAATGTGAATTTTGATAATTCCAGTATAGATATACCTAATATATTTTGTATATTTATTATATATGCAATATTAGCAACTTACCCTCGTTTCTCTTGACTGCGTCACTAGGTGTATTTCTGTCATACATTTATTGCTTTATTTCAAAACTAGAGACTCACTCTCGCTCCGCTCGGGTTTTTTCATTTTTTTGAGCGGAACCCAAATTTTTTTCTAAAATAAAAGTAGCCTGTGCTACCTCCCTATAACATCAGCTACCTTCCAGTGAAAGTCCCGTCAAAATCAATCCAGCCGTTTCAGAGATTATACGGAACTAACATACAGAGATAGATAAAAATTTAAAAAAGTGTTTTTCTTATAGGTAAGTACTGTATATAATTTCATATGAATTTAGTAAAACGCTGTTATTTTGAGACACTTCAATATCAATTTTATTTATCTGTATAGATGTTCAAAATGATACTAGTCAGTAGGTTTACAAACTAAGTATTCAATACATCTTAAACTTACAAAATTTTACCCTATATAGTAATAATCTTTATTCACAAAGTCTAAAAACTTGTTAAGAAGTTTATTTCACCTAATTTTATTAAGCTCTTATCTATATTATAGGCTAAATCAGTTTCCAATTATTTAAATCCTTTAAAGTCATTTTTGTTTACTCTGAACCTACGAATAAATATTATTTATTCGTGTCGTATTATTATTTACTCTGAATATTAAAAAAAACGAATAGGTATCTGTTATTGGTAAAGTGCAATAAAAAAATATAATATCAAATTGAGTTTTACAGGTTTTGAGGCAGTATTTAAGAAGAAAATAAAATTTTAATTTTAAGAACAATAATAAAATACGAATAAGTACGCACAAGTTTAAGTACCTATCTAGAGCTGTTTTTTAGGTAGGTGTTATCAAATTTCATTGTTTATTAATATTCATTGAGTAATAAAATTATATTCTTTGGTCATAAAAGTCGTTAATTCAAAAGTATGGAGTTTATCGTGTTCAAAGTTACCTAAGGTTGTAAAATAATAATATACGTATATTAATACAAAATCTTTACAGTAAAATTTTTTATTAAAAGTCAACGAAATTAAATTCAATACTTATTTTTACTAATTATTTTAATGAAGTAGGTATACAGAATAATTGTATTCAGCCCTTCTTAACGTCCCACTGCTGGGCACGGGCCTCCCTTCAATAGAATAATTGTAGCAAATATAAATAAAATATTCGGATAATATTAATTCTAAAAAAATATGTATACCTTTAGACATTTGTTTTTGGAATAAAAAATAAAACAATAAAAAAATACGCAAAAGGCCAATGACCAAATTAATATGTTTTAAATAAAATTATCTTTTCGGATTATTTCACGGATTTATTTTGATTTTTGGTTCCCGTAATAATCCGAAAAGATAGTTTTACTTAAAATGTCAAATATTCGCGTAAATCTAAGAAAGTATTAATAAGCTTATTAAATTAATAAGCAATATTAATAAGCCAAAACTAATAAGTTTTTATATTAATATCAATCATGACTAGGTACTGTGGCGCTTTATACCATACCGACGTCACAGGTTCGAAACAAACATTAAGTTCACATAGACTACATAAATATTTATTTTAGCCTACATCAAAGCTTGGTGTTGGAAACAATCAATTAACACGTCATGGTTTAACTTCTCTTATGGGGTCCTGTGAGTTACATTTTATTTCTCAACATGATAAAGAAAACATAATTGTAACGAATCACCAAATTTTATAGTTAATCTTTAAATGTTCACTTTTGTTTGAGCAAAAGTTATTAATATGCGTTAAAAGTATTTTGTTTTAAGTTTAAAATATAAGAGTATCTATTTTTACTTAGTACCAGTAGAAATAAACTCTTATTTAAGTTGTGAAATCTAAACCTTAGTTAACAGATTATATAAGTTATGGTCCATATAATTAATCTTTCAAAATTATATTGAGATATTTACCTAAGTATTTGTGTTTCTACTTTTTTGTTTAAATAAATATTAAGATTTATCTCTTTTACTAATAAAAAATCCAAAATAAGCAAATAATAATATGTAAGACTTTTCAAAGCTCTAACAACCGCCCAACGCGTAACGCCCCGCCCATTCGACAGCGCGGGAAAAAGCTTTGTCTAGCTTTCAGTCAAAGGAACTTACGCAGTACTACGTAGTTTATGGTACTTGCTCGATCTTCATAAATTTAGTATTGTCATGTGACATCTGCAAAGTTGCCGCACTCAGCATAATTTAATTTGTGTTCAAGTCGATGTGTTGACTTCTATAAATTATAACAAACTCTTTTAATAATTTTAGCTTCCGTGGTTTAAATATAATAGGTACGTATTTTAATGAAAAAAAAAAATTGTATGCACATTTTCTAGCAACACTACTTCGTTACGTTATTCACCTTTCACATTCCTGTAACTTTTATTTGTCATCCATGCCTGTAACTTAGAATTTAACAGCTGATTGTCATAATAAACAGCTGTCACATTTGTTTTGATTTCATTTTTCAAGTGCTATTTTTATAGAATGCATTATAATCTCGAATATTAATGGTTTATATACATTTCTTGATTCATGTTGTGAATTTAAATGTATAATTAGCTAGGATTTATATTTGAAACGAAATAACCTCAAAAAACAAATGGCGTCTAAGCTACCGAACACAGCTCTTAATTTAAAACAGGTATACTATACAGGTATTTATATTATATAAATAAAGAATCACCATAACCTAATTTGTACTTTCATTATTATATTATTTTTGTGTCAAATAAAATATTACATAAGTTATATGTGCGTAATTTTGTATCAATCATCTGCTAGAGTCAATTTATATTTACTTCAAAATAATAATTATAATTGGTATGCTAATACTAAGCATTTATTACTGCTTTTCAGTTCCTGTTACGACAAGAGGTCCTCAAGTTATATCGTAATATCTTCAGAACCCTAAGGAAAGTGCCAGATGAAAAAACACGATTGGAGCTAAAAGAATGGGCGCGAGCTGATTTTAAAAACAATAAACATCATTGTGATGAAACTACCATTAAATCTATGTTACATTATGGAAAGAAATCTTTGAAAGATTTACAAAGATCACTTGCGTTGAGTGAAAGCTAAGATGTTAAATATTAGAAGTAGTTTTAATAATGTAAATATATGATAGTACTATAGTTTATATTCCCTATTTATTAACCCAAAAACAATGATGTGTAATAAAATATTTTTTAAATAATTTTAAAAACTAGTTACATATTATGTATGGCCCCATTATAACTAGAATTTCTAGAATTGTTTAAGACCTCTACATACATATAAACAAATAAAGGCAAACCTAAAGGTTTTTCTATCTTAAAAAAAAAACAATGTTATAAATTATTCTTTATTAAAAAATTATTCTACAGCTTAAAAACTACATCAGCATAGTCAATATTATTTACAAAAACTCTATATTTGTAAAATCAATAATATTTTCCCCACTGTTTGAATATTTTATTTGAAGTACTATAGAAATACTTGTAAAAAAAATTTATTCAGCCTAATTTTGTTTAAAATAGCATAATTTTCTTTTATGTGCTGCCTTGGTAAGCCCTTGAATAAGTGATTGTTTCTATACCTCTAAATAAATTCAATTAACTATTTTTAAATAATTTTAACAAATAATTTAATTTTAAATGTTAAAAATCTAATAACTATCAACAAAAATGGCCTTATAAAACAAGTAGACTAATATTGGTAATGTTATACCTGTGCCGACCACTACAGTAAATACTGTAAAGAAAGTAATGAAATCACCATTCTTATTAAAATATTTCGCTAACCACTGTATTATATTTCTAGAAATATGATGCCCGTCAGTACCATAGCAAGGTAAAACATTCAAAAACCCTATACCCATAGAAAATATAAATATATATCGCAACAACTTTTCAAATTGAGATGGGGAGAAAAATGAAATAACAGCACTTCTAGGGAAATATTGATCTACAAAAACAGTTTTATGAATGTCATATGGTAAACCTAAATAGAGAACTGCATTATTGTCCTTCCTTTCCACTATTATTAAATATGTTTGATTATTTAGTGACGGTTTTAAACAGTGCATATTTCTTGGACAGGTGTAGCCGTTTGGCTCAGTACATTTAATTAGTTTATTCTTCACCATATCTCTAGGTCTCAAGCAAGAATACTGTCCTGGCAACACTGAATCAACAACAGCCTTCGGTTCCATGTATTCAAAACAAAAGCTATACAAATCATCTTTACGACAACATTCTACTACATCATTTTCCTTGATAGTCTCCATCATAATTTCATCATTTTGTGCAATATATTCTGCACTTGTGCATATACCAAATCTATCATGAGCTATGTGAAGGCAATATGACCAATCATTACCATTTTTTACTGTACAATCATTAATGGACATAATGATGTCATTTTCTTCTAATCCTCTTGCATCTTTCAGTGGTGAATCATCTGTAAAACCTGTCACTCTCACACCAATGTCAGTTTTATATGCTAAACTAAAGAGAATTGGAGCTGAGAAAAATAGTAGCAATGCTAAAAATGCTAGAGCAACATTATGCCACACTCCAGCACAATATATTTTCAGTCTTTTTGATATGTCTAGGCTGCTTAAATGTTCAGTGTTAAGTTTAACAAAAGCAATGGGAATTATAGTAAATACATAAACACCCACTTCAATCAATTGTACATCTTCTTGAGCTGCAGCAGCTGCATGTCCAAGTTCATGAAAAATAGAACTAAACCCAATAGCAATGAAATAAAACCAAAAGTCTGATGCAGGAATATTGACTCCAGGCAACATAGCCTTCACCTCTGGTACACTATTCAGTTGAATAGATTCATGGAAATGCTCAAAAATAAATGATAAAAGTGTCCATATAGCAAATGGTAGGAATAGTCCAATAGTAAATATATATCCAAAGTTGAACCACTTGCGCAAAATTCTAGTTAGATTCTTGCTCCATCTGTATATAAATCTATTGAATGCACTTGTTGTCCAGGAGAAGTTAAAAATTCCAATTTTTAGCCCAGTGCCTTCTAAGAATGCATAATAGGGATAGTGCATGCAACTCTGAAATTTAAAATAAAAATATTTTATTCCTTGTAAACATCTTCAATGTGATTATTATTGCAGATAAACTTACCTTGAAAAACGAATCAAAAAACCATATTACAACATAAAACGTCAACACAAACGTGCAGAGAATAGTAAATGACATTTTGTTGTTTATTATTTACGTATTATAACATATTTTATTCACATTTCAATAAATATATATTAAAAATTGGAACCGGCATCAAATTCATAAAATCGATTTATTACGAAATGAGCAATAGCCAATACAGCATTGCATGTATTATCTTCGTTTATGTTCCTTATTTCTATAGCGTTAAGAATTACGTTACGATTGAATATTTTGAAGTCATTTGTTGACGTTTACTGTCACGCTTTGACTTAAGACAACAAGGTTCTAAATATATAAACTTAAGATTAAAATTTAAAATACAAAAAGTTTTATAAAATACAAATTGTTCCTTATTACACAAACTAAATCTAGAATAGCATAGAATTTCTTTATTAATTATGCAGTTTTAATATTATGTTAAAGTATAACGAATATATGCACTACCAAAGGGAATGTATTATCCATGTTTATAGTCTGTGTAATCATGAACACATTATTTTGGGATTGATCATTGATGTTTTTGTCAAAATTGTCAAATTTTAATTTTGACGGACGCGTAGCAGCGAGTGTGTAAATTCGAAATATATACTTTGTTATATTTTATCATGTGAGTGATGAGTTGTACCGAAAATGATAGTGGCCCCTATGTTGTATTCTTCTTACCAGCCGTTGTTGGCTGCTTGACCATACTCTTGGCCCGACGCTGGGCTAACTCTCAAGTTAGCAATACTTCATCCACTGCCATTTCGAGGCGAAGGAAAATAATTAAAGACCCGCTTGTTAAACGTCCTTTACCTCCAATTGCTTGTAAAATGGTAGCTCCTGGCTCAAAGAAGACATCTGGAGCGAACAAAAAGGTAATATACATTAATAATTTTATAAATAAAAAGATGAAAAAGTTTTATTATTGTGGATATTCTAATACGATAAATGATTAGCTTTCTTATAAAACTTTGTGGAAAAGCCTTTTGGGTTTCCATGCAAAGTGAATATAATATACACTATTTTATACTTGCTTTTATATTTTAGGGAGTAACACTTCCTTTATCAGATGAAGATGTTAATGGAAAAAGGGCCAGACCAAGGCTTTCTCCAACAAAAAATCCACCTGACATCAAACTATCTGATAGCCCATTGCCACCAAAACACATACCATTCCCATATATTCCCCAGGATGGAGAATTGTTATTTGAAATTATGTCATTTGTGTTTTTACTTGTGGCTATGGGATTGCAGTTTTTGAATTTGTATAGGACAATGTGGTGGTTGCCACATTCATATACTACACAGGCAATGGTAATTTAAATACACATATTTTTCAAGAATTATTCTTTTTCATTGTACTATTTTTTAATATTATACATAATATATTTTGTGTTCTCAAAATTTATTTCAAAATATATCAGAAAGTTACATTAAAACTTTGAGTAATAGGTATTATAATTTTTTTTATAAAAGAAAACAATATCCAATGTAATAATGATACATAATATCATCATCATTATTTCTCTGCCCATTTCCCGATCACTTGGGGTCTGCGCAGTATATCTTCCATGCTGCTGATAGGATTTGGCAAAGGTTTTATGACTGTCCACCTACCTGATACAATCCTCCTTGCTATTGTTTATCAAGGATATCTTGTTACATGCACAATCAATATTGTTTTTTTTTAACATTTTTTATAGCATTACTCAAAATTTTATTTTAATTTTATTTTGTAATTTTCTGATATATTTTGAAATTTTGAACACACAATGATGATACATATTATATTTTAAAGATTTGACTTTTATTTTATGCACTATAATAAAGTATTATTAAAAATTGTGTTTCAGAATTTTCATCTTATTGATCCACACCTTGTAGCATTTATAGTGACAATCATAAGTAGAAGACTACTTCTAAGCATAACTTTAGTTTTTCTCAGATGCATTCTTGCACCTAAAATGATGCCTCATGCTACTATAGCAGCTAGGTAAGTTATCATTTATATAAAACTAGCAGAACTATGGCTATGCCCGCATTCAATCTACAAAAGAAACTCTTTGGCTTTATATTATACAGCAACTCACCCTTGCTTCACTCGGATTCGTCACTATATATTTAAATTCATATACTATTGTTCATACAATAATACTAACATCACGATTAAAAAATGGGAGGTGGGGGTAGGAGGGTGAAAATTCTATAAGGACTATCCTCATACCAAATTGCAAAAAAAAAACATAATCGGTTGAGCTGTTCTGGAAGAGTGCAACCACAAATACCGTGTTACAAGATACATATTTATATTTTATACATATTATATTTATTACATAACAAATAATTGACTCGGCTGTAATATACATACCAATGTTAAAAACATCATTTTTAAGAATGAGTATGTGAAATATATTTTTATCTCTCATAATTAGAATATTATACATAGTACATAGTTCTTAAATATTATACCCTTGTCTGTTTGTTGGCATAGGCAATATTACAGAACAAATGAAAGTATTTCCATAAGTTTAATTTCATCATAAGAGGGAATAAATACTCTATACAAAAAATAGATAAATTAAATTTACATAGGTTGATTTTGCACTGAATGAAGGTAGCCATCCACGTAGGCAATTTTGTTAAGGAATGTAAACTATATTGTTATAATTAAATTATTTTTTCTGATTTATTTTGTATTTCATAATTAAATCATGTAATTCATATCATATATGTATATATTTCAGGATGTTCATCTTAGGAGTAGTTCTTGGTGCAATGTCCTGGTGCACTTACTTTTTAATGCTCAAACATCCTTTTGTTAAGATATTTTATCTCTGCTATCCGTAAGTATCATATGTTAATTATTATTAAACTTATGTATTAAAACAGCATTACTTAATAAAAATATGTATGTGTATGAATAATAGGGATGTTATGGAGCTCTGTAACCGTAACCAAATCTGTTAAAAAAGATTCGAATAATTTCGGATAGGGGTGGAGTCAAAATGAAATATGTTATGACAGGTTTTCATCTGACAGAACCGACACAGTAACCACGCGCGACCTTTGCATTGTTTAGATAGTTTTTGTTATTTCTTTTGCTTAGCTATATTAGTCAGTCATATTGTAGTACCAAAATTCGTTGGCTCACAATTACAAGGTTCTATGTTACAATGTTGAAGATCGAGCTCAGTGGCGTGCCATAGGAGAGGCCTATGTCCAGCAGTGGACGAAAACAGGCTGAACATGATGATGATGATGATGTTACAATTTTAGTACTTATTTAGTTATTAATACTACAAGGTTTTATGTGTCATTAGCTACAGTTTTGCAAAAACCAACCACTAGATACGGCACTTTAACTACAAAATATTCAATTTTACATAGTTCTATGTTGTTTTTTTTTACGATAACAAAATAACGAGTTCTTTGTAAAAATTACTAAACTTTATTAAAATTAACATAGAACCTTGTAATAGTATATTTGTATTTTCCTCTTACAATTCCTTAAAAATGTAATATCCGTAATGGAAATTATTCGAAATCCGAAATTTCATATCCATAACATCCTCGATTAATAATATGAATCATATTTCAGTGCAGTAATATACTTCATTCTATTCGGAATGGACTCTATACCATTCCTGGAACTCCACAACTCTCCACCACTCATGCACAGCTGTTCGCATGAAACTGAGCAGATAAGAGTGGAAGTGGAGGTTCTGAGACAGGACTTCAATATTAGAGTAAAGAAGATACTCTTCAATTCAATACTCGGGACGTATTATAGCAGTTTTGTGCCATGTTGTTTTGCGCAGGTATGTTTTTTTTTTAGTTTAAATTTTACTTACTTTTTAACAATTATATTGATATTTTATCAATGTTATGATACAAAACAGAAATTTTATATAACTACAGTTACTTTTAGTGATAAGGCCACCTTTGCACATTTCTTTAAATGTGTTTTTTTGTATGTATCATTTTTATTTTTGTATGCAATAAAGTGTTTAAATAAATAAATAAATAAAATAAATAAGTACAGCTAGTAAAAAAATATTGTAACAGGTGAAATAATACATTACAGATTTCATACAAAAATATTACACCTTTGGTGTATTTTTTGTCGCATGTATAGACAATAGATGGTGTTATGACCAAATTGAGTATACCTGTCCAATTTATTGTATTTAAGTATTTCATTGGAGGATTTGTTCATATTGTTGTCGCTAGTATATAGTACTAGCGACTGACACACTCCTCTTTGTACACACACACGACACATTCCTCTGACACGTTCCTCTTGATACATTCTATCTATTAAAAAAACCCGATTCCGCAATCCGTTGCATAGTTTTAAAGATCTAAGCATACATAAGGACAGACAGACAGCGGGAAGCAACTATGTTTTATACTATGTAGTGATATGTATAGATATTATATCTATAGCTTAGGATTGATTCCAACATTTTCTAATGTGTCGTGTGCTGCGTCAGTCGTACCTGCACTACGACGCGATGGGCGCGGCGCAGCAGACGGGGCTGGTGTGGGGCGCGCTGTGCGGCCGCCTCGCCGCGCGCCTGCTGCCCGCCGCGCGCGCCGACGCGCCGCACCGCGCCGCGCGCCACCTCGGCCGCTGGGCGCCGCACGGTGAGTTAACTCCTCCTGACCGATTCCGGCCACAGCGGAGTGCATCAGTGCACGCGCAGACACGACGTGCACTCTCTATTCCTGTCACTCTCATACTCCGGCGGGACGACTGCTCGAAACTGCACGACCAGTGAGAGTGTCGGCGCAGGACCAACGGCTTTACGTGCTCTCCGAGGCACGGGGGTGAAACACCGCCAACTTCCCAACTCCGGGCTGTTACTGAGGCTTACTATAGAGAAACACTCCATAACTAACCTTGGCCCGACTCGGGACTCGAACCCAGGACCTCGGTGTGCAGCCGTACATGCTAACCACTATGCCACCGAGGCAGTTATGGATTAGTAAACTGTAGATAGATGTATGCAGGGATCTCAACTTTAAACCGTTGGCTGCTAGTGCAAAATGACCAGTGAGGGTTGAGCTGTGCATGATCAAGGGGACACAGTAAGCAAGAGTCTCTATTCGTTGGTTGTATTCACTGCTGACAAACAAACAAAATTTAAAGTGTTGGATTTTCCTCCTGTTTTATTATAACGGAATGTGTAACATCACTACACAAAAACTTAAGTGAATTATACAGGTGGACCAAAAGTCCGTTTATATTTGAAATGATGTTAGAAAACAAACGAATTACAGTACATTAAAATTGTTTATTGTTTTTGACAGTAAACAAAAGGGGAATTTATTTTTTAAAAATCACATCATCCATATGCAATCCTTCATTATTTTTATTATTTGTATTGTTGTAATCTAGAGCGGAAATTTTCGATAACAGCTTTACATGTGTTTGTTAAGATGTTTTGGATTTCTGTGCGAATACGATCCTTTAATTCGTCAAGAGTTACTGGGTTGGTGTCGTAAACTTTAGCCTTAAGATATTCCCAAAGAAAAAAATCCATTGGGGATAGATCTGGACTATGAGTCAAAAATCATCAGTCAAAAAATCCATTGGGGATAGATCTGGACTACGATCTGATATCACTTTTGGGCCAAAAATGTCTCGAGCTGCCCTTAACGAGTCATTACATGTATGACAAGTGGCTCCATCTTGCTGAAACCACGAGCGTTGATTAAAACTAACAAAATCCTGCAGCGCTGGAGCGAAAAAGTTTTGTAACATGGTGATATAGCGCTCGGAATTCACCGTAACCGCACGTCCAAGACTCAAGAGAGTCTTCAAAAAAGTAAGGACCAATAATGCCTCTTGCTGATAAAGCAGCCCATACTGTGACTTTGGGTGAATGCAGGGGTTTGTGATGCTTTAATTTCGGATTAGTATCACTCCAATAACGATAATTTTGTCTATTAACATGCCAATTTAGGTGGAAGTGTGCCTCGTCTGAGAAAAAAATGTTTGTAAAGCTGGTGAACCGTTCTAACATTTCGATTGCAAACTGCAGCCTAGTGGCATGGTCCTCAGGCCTTAATTCCTGCACCATTTGAATTTTATAGGGATGCACCCGTAAATCTCCCTTTAGAATGCGGTTTAATGATGTTCTTGGCACGTTAAGGACAGCAGACCGCTTACGAGTTGAAAATTCAGGTTGGTCACGAACAGACGATTTTACTCGCTCCACGTTTTCGGGGTCCCTCGACGTTTTAGGTCGGCCAGAGCGAGGTAAATCCATTGTTGAACCCGTGTTCTCAAACTTGAGCACCCATTATTTAATTAACACACCTGATGGAGCTTGATTTTTGTGTCGTATCTTATATTGATAGCAAAACTTTCGTTGAGCTAAGGTCGCAGAATCGTTATTTCGATAATACTCTCGTACACAAAACGCACGTTGACTACCGCTGAACGACGCCATGGTACTGAATTCCCATTGGCCGCTCTTGCAATGCCTAACCCGTTCACCCCCCTCCGCCGCCGCTGCTAGACGCGGCAACCGATTCAAATGTTAACGGACTTTTGGTCCACCCTGTATTATCATACATGGTCATGATACAAGTGTCAAAATCCCATGAGTTTTGGTTAATTTATTGATAGGAATTGATAAATATGTGTAATGGTTGGATGATTGACAATATTGTGGTTGGTCGCTTGTGGTTGCTATTTGGGAAATATGCATTTCGTATCTTCTTTCATTCTATTCATAATATAATTCAATCTATTATAGAACTGGTTTTTAATTTCGGTTATGAGTAATAATTGTTGATTTTAAATCACTTTTTTAATCTTATTTGTTATATTTTCTTTATATATATGCTACTATATTAGTACTGTCCACCTTTTTTGTACTCCATTTGACATATGTAATATTATGTTAATATCATATATTTTGCTTTAAAAGTGATGATTCCTTTACAATATTTTTTTATAAAAACCTATCCCTCATCATCCCATAGCGCCAGAAAACATAGCAGACGTGCCAGAGTGGTGTCCCACACGCTGGTACACTTACGGGTCGCGGGTTCGAGTCTTGGAGGAGGTATTCATAGCGGACACGGCCATTGTCTCCGCCACGCCCAACGACGTTCATCATATACGGTTCTATGTGAGTATTACTTGTGTAATTATATATTCTTAAAATATTCTGTAAGCTAGAGGTATGTTAGTAATAAGAAGGTTAATTCGTACCAATAATGTATATACCAATTTAAAGGCAATCCATAGAACAGTGTAAAAGTTGATACGGTACAGTGCCATCTATTGGCGAATTACAGTAAAAAATATATACATAAAAACTTTTCCTATTTAAAATATGATGTGTCAAAATTCAAGCAATTAGTATGGAACTTTCGGAAGTTTGTGTTTTTTTCTTGCACAAAAGAACATTACATTTTTTTCATATACATAGCATATAATAAAATAAATAATATATAACGAGTTACTAGCGGCATTGTTGAATAACATTTAACTACTTTATTTACGAAAGCTTTTAAGTGTAACTGTCGCCGATTTAAGTGAATTATGGTATCAAAATAGGTCATATAAATCTATACTAATATTATAAAGAGAAAGTATGAGTAGAATCTGTTTGTGATGTCAAAATAACTTTTTACTAAATGCATTCGACATTATATACGATACTTATAAGAAAAACATATTTTTTTATTTTTTGTCTATCTGTCTGTCTGTTTGTTTCGGCTAATCTTCGTAACGTTTGGACTGATTTTCACTTGCAGATAGCTGATGTTATTACGAGTAGCTTAAGCTACTTTTATTGTAGAATAGGAATTAATGTTCCACTCACAAAAATTAAAATGTACCTATGGAAATGCACACACATATATACGTAAATATGTAAATATTTAAAGTGTATTTTTCCTTTATTCCAGTCCGTATTCAGCAATCCATCAAAACTTCTATGTCTTCTGCTGTGCCTCCAGCTGTCCCTAGTTGCGATGCAACTGTGTCTCTTGTTTAGTTCATTCGCGTGGCACAATTTTTTAGCCATTGTTATTTTACTATTTATTAACTATTACACTGTATTTAAAATGATTAGAGATTATCTCGTCGCTTGGAAAGTATATAAAGCAGAAGATATGATACAAGATAAAAATATTCAACATACTGTTAATTAAAGTAGCGGTTTCATAGTACTGTCTAAATTAAAACTTCCAATAAACGGCATTTGTTTCACTTAGAAATGTTTAGATATATTTGTTATAATTTAGATGCTTTCTTAAATATTGATTTAAGTATGGTGTAAGTATAAGTAAAGTTTTTTTTTATTTATTTTTTTTATCTGTAACCACTTTTTTTGTTTAAGAAATCGATATAAATATATCTTAAAATGATACAAGGACAAATATGTCTAAATTATTTCTAGGCAATTGTTATAATTAAGGGTCTAGTCAGATCTAAGTCTACAGATTATATAATCTGGATTATAATTTAAAAAAACTAAATATTTTCTTGATAGTGAGACACATGCCTAATAATGATCTGGTTTAATATTATGTACTTAAATTTAAAACTGATGAGGGCTAAATTCTTTTAAATAAAGATTGTAATTTGTGTATTGTTCTTAAAGCATTAGTTAAGCATTTCACAGATTATATTAAACTTACATACATTAATAAATAAAACTATCTTTTCGGACTTTTTCGCGGATTTATTTTTATTTTTGGGTCCCGACGTTTTGAATTCTTTACAGCAAACTCGTCACTGAAGAGGCCAAAAATCAAAATAAACCTGCGAAAAATACCTGAAAAGATAGTTTTATGTAAAAAATGTCTAATATTTGCGTAAATCAAGAAAGTATTACACTATTAAAGTTTAACTTTCATCATATACAAAGAAAATATATATAAACGGAGTGTCCCAAAAAGTGGGAAATCTTGTTATGGTATTAAATATTAATATTCTGTATCAAAATAAAATACCATAGCAGGCACTTTGTTTATTGCTAATTTTCTAACTCTTGTGTCAATATGTAGTTTGCAGAATTTAGTCTTCATAAAATAACATTCTATAATACTTTTGGCAAATTCAAAAAAAAATAATAATTAGAAAAGATTGAAGTTCTTGCTGTTTAAACTTTAATTCAAATATTCTATGAAAATGTCATAGTAATATATTCCTTAATATAAAAGTAAACAGAACAAATATATAACTTACTTGCCAAATATGAAGTTTCATTTTATATTTTCATACCTTTTTAATGTCTCACTGGACATAGGCCTCCTTTCATTACGAGTTGATCAGGCCATAGTAAACTCTCACACATGCGGGTTTCCTCACAACGTTTTCTTTCACCATAAAGCAAAATATGGTAATAATGTTGGAACATGAAAATGAGAAGGTACAAGACTCGGGATTTGAACCCGCTTCACACGGTTTCCCCCACTACCTCAAATATGTGGTAGATTAAATTATTATTATGAAATGAATAAATTTGATAACTAATTTATTCACATTCATTAAACTTTGATAAACAGGCGGCCGGACGTAAAACTTTTGCCAAATCCTATCAGCAGTATAGAAGATGTACTGCGCCGACCCCAAGTGATTGTGAAATGGGCAAGGAGATAATTAAACTTTGATAAATAATATGTATCATTATTATATATTGCGAGCTCAATAAAAAAATCAGATAGCAAATAGTATTAAATAACATTTTATTAATTAATAAACATATATTACATTAACAAATAACAATACTAAACTATACAAAATATAATATTTTTACTAACAGGTGTTTCTCATAATATACTTAATTTATTTTATATGCACCCAAGATGAGTTGTCATTACTATCATTTATTTGTATTTTCATGGACTTCATTTTGTCTCTCATTACATCACATGCACTTAATATTTCTTTGTCTTTTCTTTCTAATGCATTTGCCCGGACAGTATGTCTAAATTCAACTAAAATATCTAAAAAGGAGTTTGAAGTTTTATTATGAGCTGACTCGGTTAATTTTAAACCAAACTTTGTTAAAATTTGTACTAAGTATTCTGCGATTAATATAACTGGGACCGGATAGTAATCAGATGTATCAGCCTTCATCAACTTATTAGTTATTCTAATTAAATTTAAAAGAGAATTTATACAAGATGCTGTGTCAAAATCATTTCTTAACGCCTCTAAGTTACTCTCTTCTACGTTTTGTAATTCACTTAGTAACTGATTATTATAATCTCCACTACTAGCATTACTATTATTCACATAAGTCTCAACATCTTTTAAGAAGAATCTAAATTTGTTGAGGACATCTTGTGCATTAATCATTACTTTATCGCTATACTCCATTGAATATCTATAGTTCGACATAAGACATGCCATTCTAAAAATATCAGAACTGTATATTTGTATTACATCTGGTATTAATATTGTATTTTGAAGTGACTTAGACATTTTTGTTTCCTTAAGTTTTAAATGACCAACATGAATCCAATAGTTAGCCCACTGCCTTGTGTTATGAAAGGCACAAGACTGAGCTTCTTCATTTTCATGATGTGGAAATTGTAAGTCAATCCCACCTGCGTGGAAATCTAATTGAGAACCAAACACTTTACTAACCATCGCTGAACATTCTATATGCCAACCTGGTCTGCCTTTACCCCATGTAGTTTCCCATGAAGGCTCATTTGGTTTATAACCCTTCCATAAGGCGAAATCCATTTTATTCCTCTTAGCTTCATTACTAGGATCACCATTATCTTGCATAGTTTGCAATTTTCCATATGCGGGATATTTTGAAGTGTCAAAATATACAGAGCCATCTTTAGCTATATAAGTAATGCCAGAATCTATTAGGCCTTTTACGAAATTGCTGATTGTATCAATATGGTCAGATACTCGAGTTACGATCATGGGTTTTTCAATATTTAAGCTAGCCATATCTATCCAAAACTCATGCTCATATTTCTTAGCTACCATTCTGAAGTCACTTTTAGTTTCATTACCGCGTTTTATAATTTTATCATCAATGTCGGTAATTCCCATGGCGGTGACGAGTTTTATATTAAAGAAAGACTTTAATATTCTCTGTATGATGTCCAGTTTAACGTAACAACAAGCGTGACCTATATGCGCCGAGTCGTATACTGTAGGACCGCATGAATACCACGTAGCAATTGAAGGATCATTTAATATAATAGGGACTCGTTCTTCAGCAACACAATTATAAATATATACTCCTATTGGATTCCCATTCGGCATCAACCACTTTGTATCTTTATAAGGTTTTAAATTGCAAATATGGGTTAGTTTTCTAGTAAGAACGGGGAAGAATTTACTCATTATTATTTATCACTTAATACACACACGTTTAAAAAAGGCCGATGTGTTAATTCATCGAGAAATGTCGTTTGTTGCTAATTATCAATAATAGCAAAACAAAACGTTATCACTTAACGGCATGCATCAGCTGATTCAATATCATAGATTATATATGAAGAATTACAAATTTGTCAGATAGGTGACAATGGAGAAGTTTGATTATGATTTTTGAATATTATATTAAATTCAATGACAAAACATGATAATTTCTAAACTTTATTGAAATTTGAACACATTTCTTTCACTGTCAAAATTTTGTTGTCAATGTCAAATTACAAAATTACTGAGCGACGATTGAGAAAAAATATTAAATAAATTGTATATTCCTGAATTATAATAGATATAAGGCGATAAATATGGTTACTTTTGGCCCAGATGAAGTCGGCTTAGCTGACCAATCGCCATGCGCAGGTGTACGGGCGGATTTGAAGATGTGTTTATTAACTAGCGATTGTTGCAAAAAGGTTAGTATTTTATCACTAAAAAGTGTACTTACTATGAAAAATTCTATAAATATGACTATTTATGACTTCATTAAGGATTAAAGACTTAATTGTTTATTTGTATCATATAAAACGTTACTGTTATGAAAGAGCAAGCACTCTGAACACAGGTATTTTTATGCAGTGTATAACTTATTTAAAATAATAAAATAATTCCTATTACTATTTACAGTATAAGAAAACACCTCGAGAATGTTTGAAAGACGGCTTAGTTCCTTCAGAATGCTTACAACTAAGACAAAGCTTCTTTGAATGCAAAAGATCATTGGTAAGTTCAAACTTCAAAGTCAAATTCTGAATTTGTAATTAAAATAAACTTCATAATATCTATACTATATTGGTCTTATTAGAACTAGCACCACTTGTACTATATATTTAATGTCAAAAATTATTTTGGTAATAACTTTATGTTAATCTTATATTTTGTTTTCAAATACCTATTACTATAAAGTAATAGTAGTATGCGAATTTGCCACTACAAATATTTTTCATAAATTTAAAATTAAAAGCATTTGTAAAAAAATTACAGCTGGACAACAGGAGGAGGTTTCGGGGACATAAAGGATATTAAATATTATTAGAAAATATGTATTTTAATTATTGTAGTAGTTAGTCACTTAGTGAAATATATTAATTTAATGAATTTATTATTTTAATAAATTATTGTTATGATAAACAGACTGTAATTTTAGCATTAAGGTAATGACATGCTTAAGTTTATACTTAAGAAAAAATGTACTGTGTATACAAAAAATTAAAAATATATGATTATATCATACTTATCTTTCTTTGTTAATAAAAGGATAAATAATAATACAATATCATTTGGATGGTTTTATTATAAAAATAGTTCAAATTTACATTCTATATGTCAGAGCCTAGCCCACAATGCAAACTAGCTTTTGAAGCTAAATATTATACTTATTTGCTCTTAAAACCTATATTGGTACAACCCTGGTACTAGGGAGTAAGGTTATTGCGAAATTAAATCAATGTTTTAATACAAACTGGTAGTTTAGATGAAAATTCATGAATAGAACAAGATTTATTTATTTTGGATTTATTTTTAATTTTTCCATATTAGATTGAGAATAGCATGTGCTCTGATCCATAAGTTCTGATTAAAATATTTTTTTTTACTGTACGAAAGTCTGTAATATATTTATTAATTCATTTCATATTTTATACATAAACACAATCATTGAGTATCCTCCATATTTTGATTTACAATGACTATAATTGTTTTTGGGTGTCCCACGAGATGGCGCCACTAGCAAATGACGTTAACAATGGACTTACACTTTAAACTTAAGAGGATTGTGAAGTGTTGATATGCGGCGTGAGTAGGTTTTAAAAAAAATGCTATCTGTTTCATGCCGCTCGCTTTGCCAACCCGTATGGTGCGATAGAGAAAGTTGCCCCTAAACATTTACGAAATGAGAGAATTTTGGTCTCGTTAGATTCAGTACACCGTAATCTAGGTCTGTACGTTTTTCTTTTTTAGTAATTTAGTTTAGTTTAATTTAAAAAAACTAACGAGATATTTAGATGCTAATACCTTCTACCATACGCAATATTTCTTTAAAATAAAGACGTACGGACCTAGTTTCTTCATTATATCTACAACATTTCGCTTTTTGTTTGAAAATTTACAGCTTCACAATCCCCTTAAGAATTCTAAAAATATTTAACACTAGCGATTCACCCTCGCTTCGCTCGGGTTTGTCCCTAGTGGGTTCTCCATACAAACTTTCATCCCCATTTTCACCCTCTTAGGGATGATTTCCGGGATAAAAAGTATCCTATGTCCGTCCCAGGGTCTCAAACTATCTTCTTAACAAATTTCATCTAATCGGCTCAGTAGATCCAGAACATACCACGTCACAACGTCACAAACTTTACTTCTCTATAATATTAGTATAGATACCAAACTAACCCCACTAAAATCATATATAATTATGATAAAACATATATGGGTTGATCAATTTCCTAGAAGATAACATAGTTCATATTAATTTCATATCAATCATGATCTTAACAAAACAAGTTGATTTTATTCTTGTGGCGCCACAACCGACGAAAAGTCCCAGTCTGACCCTTCCTGTGTTATACTACAATCTTCATAAAACTCACATCACAGAAATACATTAATGTGTAATTAATATTTTAATTTATATGAAAAAAAACGATTTTTAAACTTTACAATCATCTTTTGAAGCAGCTATTGAAGTTTGAATAACGGAATGAAAATGGGATATTTTTCACCAGTCCTTCCACAAGGTCATTCCTAATTTACTTTAAAAACTAAATAATTGTGAATAAGACTTATAAGATATATGAGAACAAGTGATATAAATGGCAGTGTATTGACATTTACATAATTTATGAGCTAAAATCAAGCCAAATTTACTTTATGAGTTTTTTTATTAGTTATAATTAAAGTTCGAGAAAGCGAAATTAATATACGAGTAATGGCTAGAGTGGTGCTAGTGTATCGGTGATTTTGTAATAAGGTAGTTTATTAAAAGAAGATAATGTTGAATAGTTTCAGGTTTAATAATTTGCGGGAAAGAGCTCAAAGCTCAAATAATCTGTATGAAATTTCAAGAATCGGTTTTAATGCTTGGATCAGACCATTCATTAACTAAAATACGTATAATCAAATTAACACGTCTCCTGATGTTTGAATTTTGATAGCGGGTTTTTATAATATCAATCCGTATTAACAAAAACTAAACTTGAGTTGTCGTTATAACTCTTTTTTTTATTTAAATCCAGCTTGATTCTAGGCTTTACAAAAAATTGTTTAATTTAGCTAAAATAGTTGCTCTACATTACGTAAGTGATGAAATACTGATTAGTGAGTTAAAATTGTGTTGTAAATACCTTAAAGTTAAAACTACTTGACAAAGAAGGCATTTTGTTGGCAAAGGGAGAGAGCGTAAGTTTAAACAGGTCTTAAATATAACTTATCTAGATAGTCGACCCTTAATTGTTCGTAATACTGGTTCCTTAAAATACTTTTCGCTGTAATTCTTACGTGATAAAGTGAGCATGCCAGAAACCTAGCAAGCCTTCTAACTAATTATTAAATTGACTAGTTTAGCACCATAGCAAAATAATCGCGCTGCAATGATTGAAATTTTAGTGCCTTTTAAATATATGTATTTAAAAATAGCTAATGGGTGTGTTTACGTCTGTACATGAATTTCGTAACGAACCAATTGTACATTTTTATTATTGTCATATCTAATCTAATTTATATAATATAGGAATAAGGATATTGAACATAGATAATTTAATAGGTATTATTATATTTTAAGCAACATATATTTATGAATAATATGGCGAAATTGCGGGCATAGAGAAAAAGTCTAGGTTTTATTTTTATAGAACGTGACACCAAAATAATTTAATTATGTAATACAACGTGAACACACCCTTACAATAATATTATAATATCTTTAATTTTATATAGATTTAACTGTGCAGTGCAAGATTTTCATTTTCAATAAGTTTTAATTAATTTTTGGGCCTCTGAAAACCATGCTGTACTGCGATTTAATTTTAACAAACTACTAATTTGAACTTTTAATCTCACTGATTCGCTTTGAGAATTCGCTTTTATTAAACTATTTATAATATAATAATGAGTATTTGCATTTTACTTTATGAATTCTTAAAATAAAGCAATTCATGATATTTTAATACTTACAAATTATTCTTAAATAAAATTTGTATTTACAGACAAAAATTTTTTTTTTGGTATCGATACATTCACACTGTTAAAATTTAAATTCTTAGTTATTCTGTTTTTGCTTTTTAAAATTCATTTATATTCTGCCTTCCTGTTTAATGATATGTTTCCGGATATGTCAAAAACCGGGATCAGTTTCGTTTTAAAACTCCGGGTGGATTGGCAGTTAATAGTATTAAATTTATTTTTGTTTCCCGAACTAAATGAAAATATAATATAACATCTAAGATAAATTTTGAGAGCTTTGTTGTATCTATTACAAGAAAATGTAACAAAATTAATATCGAATTTGAAATTAAAATAGTAATTAACAATTAGATTATGCGTCATTATTTATTTGAGACAATTATTATATTGTCAATATTATTTTACATTTATTGTTTGATTGAGAGAAAGAGAGAGAGAGAAGGAGATAGAAATCAATTTTGAAATAAATTCGTTTTACACTAATTTAGAACGCTGCAAAATAAATATAAGCAATAATTGTAAAATCTTTAATAATTCGATGAGAATCTTTGTATTATCTAGATATATCTAAACTAATGAGCGGTTCTTATTCCAACAATCCACAATGGAACCTTCGAAAGCTCTCTTAAAATGGTGCTCCCTTATAACCTTATTTAGACAACAGATACATTAACAATTTAATAAGGTTGCCACGTTTAGGGTTTAGAAAAAAATCCTACTTTGTACTTTCTACTAATTAATTATCTAATATTTCTAAATGTACATAATAATGTACTATTTTGAATTAAACGACTTAATTTTATAAGCAATAACTGTTAGCACAAAGCTTTAATACTTTCTGAAAATGATCGTGTGTTTTCGTTTAATGATAAAATTCCTAAACCATCTGGAAAATTTTTTTATAATTATATAGACCACATCTCGCTTTGTTTTGACAGTATGAACACTATTCAGCACTGGTTCTCTAATAAATTGGCACAAACGCACACCGTTTAGTATGTTTTGCCACTCAATAACTCTACAAGTTCGTTAAAACTCTTATTCATAAATCACTAAAAGTCCAAATGATTTAAAACCCTAATTTCTGGCAACCCTATACCTACTAGAAAGTTTGTATCGGTCTGTACAAGCCAGTATAACCACATAACCTTGCTCTCAACGCCGTCACTAGCATGGCAGCTCCGGACAAATCGTCCAATAAATTTGCGCATTCACACACTAATAGATACATTTTATCTCCATGAGCTGCGACGGACTTGTGTAGAGCTATTTTCCTCATTCCCACTGAATGTGGTAGATGTCGGTATAACATGCGAGCTCCGGTCCAATACAGCCAGTTCCTTTCGAAACGCTCTCCGTCGTCGCCTTCAAATACCTGAAATGTAAGACGAATAGGCTTATTTTCAAAAAATTAAAAATATAAAAGATTTACGTTAATATTTAACATTTTAAATTAAACTATTTTTTTAATTTTAAATATCTTTTATCTATATAAATCAAAATGTTCCTATGTTTTCCTTCTCCAATACGCCTGCGAAGGTTCCTGGCGCAAAAAATAAGTTTTCTTTGGACGTTTTTCTTTTATGCGTTCTTAAACCATTCAAGCAAGGAGCGAAGAGGAAGCGTAGCGTAAGTCACTAAATCTTAATATAAAAGGAGTACATATAATCTAATATGTACATATATAGATATCTCGTGTCACGGTTTTTGTGGTCGCGCTGCTCCGAAACGGCTCGACCGATTTTAATGTTTTTTTTTGTATATTTGGTAGGTATGAGTATACGTCGTAAAGTATTTTTCACCCTCCAACCCCCGCGCCTCATTTTTTAATCGCAATTTTAATATTTTGCATGAATAATACATAGCGACGAACCCGAGGGAAGCGAGGGTGAGAACATAAAGCCAGAGTTTTTTTTATAGATTGAACGCGGGCGTAGCCGCGGGGTCTGCTAATATATATTTAATAATATAATATCTCCACAGTTTTATGACAATCTATGCCAATGTGTACATATTTGCTTATAATGTCTTGCATATTGACTAAGCTAAAAATTGAAAACCAATCCACAATAATTACCTTATAAACACTAATAATGAACCCCGTAGTAGGTGTATGGGATTTTTTTGGTCCACCAGCGAGATCATTAAACGGAGGCCGACAGATCATGGCCACTTCACTGTACAGATCTAACGTATGCGCAGCTGAATATCTCATAGCTTTCGGATCAAACTTGCTTAATGAGGCACTTCGCATGTTATTATAAAACAAAAGTGGATCTGTTTGTGTTGTATTTATTACATAATAAGCTATGAAAGGGAATTCCGCGTTCTTTTCCATGTTAGCTAACAACATGCCTCCTACGGCTGTATTTGCGTGGGCTACGTCATTTAGTAGTTCACTAGCGGCAGTTTTCTGTTTCGTCAAAGGTTTGGCAAGAGGAGATTCTAGGATAGGCTCTATAGGTTCTAAAGGGCTCATTAAATGCGCCAATATACAAAGCTTTGGATCGGCAACTTCTAGTATGCTGAGTGAATTTTGGGTTTTTGTCGTCATCCCTTTCTCCGGCGTCGGCGGAGGAACAGGAAGCTGAAATAATAAAAAATAGCTTTACTTAATTATAATTAATAGTTCTTTATGGCGTAAACTACACAGAAATGTGGGTAGAGTAGTATCTAGATAGAGTATCTAGATAAAGTTATAGTTTTTGAAACATGGCGTGTAAAAGTAATTCAATTTAAGGTATACATATACTAAAATATAACTTACCGGCACGCCATCAGGCAGGAACCGGTCTAGCGCGTGTGCAGGTATCACGAAGCAGTCTCTCTCCAAAGTAGCCAAAGATACTGGCTCCGTCCGTCTTCTTTCCGTTGAAGGTGGTTTGTCCCATCGCATGAGGGACACCGAAGGGTCCCTCGTAACCAACGGCTGAGGGGGCTCGGGATCCGACCCCGTTCCTCCACCGATGACTGGTCCACATCGTTCTGAAATTTAGACAAAATATATATTATTGATGGGAAATAGCACTACTAGCATTTGACTTCGAGAAGAAACAAAAAGAAAGTCGTAGCTATCAATTTGAGTGAAGTTTTGAAATTTAAACGTTGTTTAAGTATATTGCATATTATAAGCTCCAGATAAATAATTCTATCTAACAATAATCTTCAGAAAACTTAGGCAAGCTAAGATGTTCTTGACATGTCAATACACGTTATAATAATATGCTTTTGGAATTTGGCGTTAGTACCGGTAAAAATCATGAATGAATTTTATAAATTTTCACATTTTATATTGAACAATTTAAAAATATATCGCTGATTGCGTTCAGCTCTTCACAAATTGTAAGCATTCAGAATAGGTGTGCTTACATCATTTACTCCATACTTGTTAAGCGAACAGTGAACTGATGGCATACTCTGTTATTAACATAAAGCAAATATTTTCAATTCATTAGTGACGATATAAAAACACCATTTGACCTGGATTTTTAATAGTAATTTTTGCTTCATATCCCCACGTTCTTCCCTAAAATAGACTTACATGTTCTCTGTCCTCAGTCGCGTGCGACACGTAGGCAATGTTTGGGTGTGACTTCTGGGCCTCATTAACATTCTGTACATATAAGTACTTAACATAATAATTACTACATTTTGTTGTTATTTGTTTAATATCAGTATGAAAATACAATAAATTGAAAAGATTTGATCAGTTTTTACATTCAAAATTCATATGTCGTTATTATAGTATGTTTATTTGTTTATACTCGTTTGTTTTGAAATAGCTTTCAAAGGTATAATTAATGAGAAATGAAATTTCATCTTAGAACTACCAGTACATTGATTTCTTATGAGATCTTAACATAGTCATGTTTTTAGTAACTCAAGTGCTATAAATATACTGGCTAAAATTGTTTACTGCAAGATTTTTTTTAATTTTGGCCGCTATGTCCATGCACATACTATGTATATGCATATACTATATGACGTATAATAACGAACTTGTCTCGTCAGTTGTCAGTTCAGTATAAATAGATTTGACTTTCCTTACCGCATTACATTGAAGAATCACATAAAAATCATAACACTTGTTAATTATAAGAAATAATTACAAAAGTATACATAAAAAACGATTAACCAAGAGAAATTATTGACGACGCATGCAAACCTTTCCATTATAAGACATTACGAGAGACGTAGAGACAAAGAAAACGTAGAAACCGCTCTACGTGGCCTCGCGTAAACAAACTTGCACTGCACACTATATATACTACGATCCTTACTTCCCGAGTTACCTGAGCCGTCATTATACTGTGTACTGGCCCTAGGCGCTGAGAAGAACAGATGTGTCCTGTAATGATGCTCCTCCATGCACGAATATCGGTCACGATCACGTCGTTTGGCATTCCTGCCTGCTCCCAACGCTCCTTTGGCTTTCCCCCCACCCCCTCCGCTCGACACCGTCTTCTCTGTGCTGAAGTTCTTTCGAAACATCAAATTCATCTTGGAAGTTTGCCACAAGCGTCCCGTTCACACATTCACGTTAGTAGTTAGTTCTGTTTCTCTTTAATTTGTTTTGGTGTTGAGCGTACGCAAGATGATCAGTGAATTTGAGCGTTTGTTTTGCTTTTTATAAATATTTTATAAAATATTTGAATTTTCTTTTTCATATCTGATATTTTCGATTTTTACCATATAATTATAAATATTTATGTTTAAAATTTTCGTCATATTTTTAAATTATCCTGTTTAAAGAACATGTTATTTAAGCGGCTAATAGACTTTTGAAATTGTAATGATAATGATTATTTCAGGATTATCCCAATTTGTATCTAAAGTCTTCGAGGTTGATTTTATGGAACCATTTCTTTTGGTAATTGTTTACTAAAGGCTTTAAAAACGAATATAAATGTTCCAATAAATAAAATATTATGACCTCATGTAAACCCTTAAAGGTTCAAAAATCGCTGCCAACGTTCAAAATAATGTACCATAATATATTTTCTTTATTGTCTAAAATTATTAAAACTATTTCAATTTATACTAGAAAAGCCAACATATTGTGTCATGAGCATTTGTATTTAGATACCTTTTGCAATTCGTCGAGAAATTAAAACTCAAATTCGGCAACTATAAAGCTAAGTTATCTAGATAGTTTCAGAGATGTACCTAACATTGCACATGAAAGTTTCCACTGGATTTTGGAATGCATTTAAAACTTCGATCACAATCTGTAACACAATTTTAAGACTAAAGTTTTACTCAAAGAAGCTTAAGTTTTAACCTTATCTAGAATTTGATGTGAACGCTTAAAACATTTAAAAATAAGTACCATCTAAATTTTGCTGATTGTATTGTAGTCTTTAAATGGTTATTTGCTACAAACGTAAAGCATTATAATACCTACTATGTTCAATCAAATTCAATGCGACAAAAAATGTCCTCACCGAATGAGCGCTCATTTGAACATTTGAGCGCACTTTTAATTATTATTTTTGTAAAAATAACTTTAACCATCGCATTTAAGGTTCAAATTTCATTGTTGTATATTCATTTCAATTAGAATAATTATCTAAACACAATTGGTGACAGTTTTAAGAGAAATTTTGCATGGGATTGTGTATCTAGTACTTTTTTGATCGATGTGTTTAATAGTGTTTATGAGTTATGACTATATTATATAACATGAGTGACGGTAAATCACTCATGCTCAATAATAATATTTATTGAACACTAGCATTGCCCGCAGCTCCGCCCGCGTTCAGATGACCAAAAACTAAATAAAATAGCGCTATTGTCATTTTTTTCGAGATAAGCTATTTTCTATAGTTTTGCCTTATTTAGTAAGTCACGCGTAGCTTGCTAAAATATATAGTATCATCGTGGTTTTATTCTAACCAGTTCTTGTATTTTTTTCTCAGAAATGAGATATTTTACCGCGGTAAAAAGTATCCTTTATGTGGACCCAGAATACCAGCTATGACCATACCAAATTTCATCAAAATCCCTCCAGTAGTTTTTCTGTGATGCGGTAACAGACAGACAGACAAAAATTCTAAAAACTGTAGATTCGGCCACTGTATCGATAATAATGTCTATTTCAATAGGATTTTCCAAAAAATATTTAATGTACAGATTCAGCTTAGTTACACTTTTATTATATGTATAGACAAGTGATTTACAGTCGCTTCGCTTGGATACCAAACTATATGTTAATCCAGATCACAGTCTATTTGTGTATTAAGCATCCAAACTCGTCCAGTCGTTATATAGGTAGTAAACACATACGTCATACATATAAACTTTAACATACATAGCAGTTCGATTTAAAGATGGTCTTGTTTATATACGCCAGCTCTACCTGTTTCGTAACTTTTCATTACTAACTTTTAGTCAAAGGAGCTTTTATTAAGATTTTTTTGAGTACTCTACCAGAAAGTTGTAACAAAATCTTCTTATAATATGTTAGAAATATGAGTAGCATCTGTTTTATTTAAAGTGTTCTTAATATAGTTGATAACGTGCGGTAATATTTAATTTAAATAGCAAAGATGTAGAGACAATTCTTGAAGAAGATTGTTTTAAAATAAAGATTCTAAACAATTCATAAGATTGTAAAGTTATGGAAATAAAGACCAATAAAAACTTTTTAACAAAAAAATAAAAACCGACTTCAAACAAAAGCACTAAAAAGTAAAAAATAACTGATCGGTAGTTTTCATTTACTATACATACCTAATCAAATATTTTCGAAGTCGGTGTGCTTCGCTTTGTATGGGCTGGCACCGATTTCGAAAATATTTGATTAGATATGTATTTAATAGGTAGGCTCTAATTACTTAGCCAAAGCACACCGACTTCGAAAATATTTGATTAGGTATGTATAGTAAATGAAAACTACCGATCAGTTATTTTTTACTTTTTAGTGCTTTTGTTTGAAGTCGGTTTTTATTTTTTTGTTAAAAAGTTTTTATTTTTCCCTTTTTAGTGTAGACTGTAGTAGCAAAGTAAGGATTCTAACGTGTTAGGCTTGTCAAATCAAACAAAATAAGCCCAAACTCAAAGTATCTACTATTAGCCGTTGAAGAGTTCCGCCTATCCACCTTCTGGCCTTGCCATCAGATCAGGTCAACAATACCGAACCACTGTACTATCAACGGAAATAGAAATACTTGCAAAGTTTCAAGTCAATATGACAATTAGAAGTAGGTTAAATTCATCATTAGTTGTTTTTCCACCCTTAGGGGTGGTATTTTTTTTTGAAATTTAAATGGGACCAATCTGGAAGTATACCCTTTCAAACAAAACAAAAATTGTCCAAATCGGTTTAGAAATGACGGAGTTCTGAGGTAACAAACATAAAAAAAAAAAAAAAACATACAGTCGAATTGAGAACCTCCTCCTTTTTGAAGTCGGTTTAAAATACGACAGCTTATTTTGAAAGAATTTACTGCATTGTTTACTTTAAGTAGCACTAAATTACAACTTTCTACACGTACTCGTACAACGTTATTGTCCAATTCCATGAATTATTGAAGCCAATTTAACGATTACCGCCGATGCTAAAAGGGAAAGGTTGAATTTCTATTCTAATAGAAGCCTTTAGAGGCTAATGTTTTGAAAATCAATGTCATGGAATTATTATGCAAAATTACAGGAACACTTGAAAAATGCTACTACTATGTAGCTACTTGTTATTTATTGTCTGCGACTTCAGGGATGGCATAGCTTTTGTAGAGTCAGTTCAATTTGTAGAGCAACAAACAAATTTTGCCTCTTTGTAATGGTAATAAATCTATCAGTTCCAAAAGGATACTCATGATGAGATTGCAATTTTCTTTTTATATTATTTTATGAAGTTTCTTCAGATATTTAAGAGGGGAAAATTAAAAAATTTAACAATTATATAGTGTTAAGTGTATTGTTTTTATTGATACTGTTGGATCGTAGTTAGCATCTTGCACAATTAAGAGTTTGAATGGATTTTTTTGTACATACTGGAACATCATGACTTCTAGATGCTATATCGACGCTGTTTAATAAATGGAATAAGGTATTATACCTATCTATTTATTTGAATGCCGCAGAATAAATTAATAGCAAATATCCAAAAAGTATTAAAGATTTAATGGCCACTGACAAAAACAACATTTTAAATATTTTAAACCTTTTACATCATCAAAAACAAATGTCCAAAAATTTTCTACGCGTATGTACAATTACACTAAAATCATGGCAAGATTTGATATAATACAAAATAAAGAGAATACCTACGATGTAAGGTATGAAATAAAGCTCATTTACATCAAGTGGTTTTCGCATGCGGTAAGCAGAATTTTATAGTAACCGTTAGCGGTGTGGCCATGAAAACATACAAAGGAAAATTTCATTTTCCTCATAATTATATGATTAGTGAAGATGTTAATGAAAACATCGTAATTTTATTCTAACGATATAAATCGCCTTTGTGGTTTATAGGTCGTTATACGAACGTTTGGTACGTAATTTAACGTCTGACCTCTCATATCTTGGTAACTATTTACGTCTTTTATGAGTGATGTGTACGTTTTCTTTACAGTGACGGTGATTGATTTTGTAGCTTGCCAAATTGCTTACTATCAAACATTTGATTTTGCCATTAAGTATATCGCTGATTTGTGTCAGAAAAAGAAGATTACATAAAATCCTTGTAATATAAAAGACAAAACTCTTATAAAATTTATTTTCCTGAAACTTTTTGAACAGTGTTAACCATTAAACAAAATAAAAAAAAAAACATTTCTCTAGGGCTGTGTACTAAATGCCCCTTTACAATTGTTAAAGAATATACTATTAAAAATATAGGAATGGCATATAACTCTATGACATAACGATTTAATTTGTCATTTCAGTACAATATTTTAAAATTACCGCTCAAATTTATTAGTGTCTTCCTCACATTACGTGACACTGGCAGAATATATTGCAGCTGTTAACGCAACTTTAAGCCTCTAAAGAAAAAAAAAAAAAATAACAAATTGACGACACGTTTGACTCCGTTTGTAGTGACCCTATTAGCTGTGCCAGCGGTTGCGGGTTCGAGTCCCGCTGGGCGCATTCATTTGTGTGATCAGTATGTATTTAAAGTTATGATGTTCTCCCGACCGATTCCGGCCACGGCGGCCAATCTCATTGAGACTAGCCAACTGCGCAGGAGATATTATAGTGCACAAGTGTACGCGCAGACACAAGTGCACTCTCTATTCCTGTCACTCTCATACTCCGGTGGGACGACTGCTCGACACGACCAGTGAGAGTTAAGGCGCAGGACCGACGGCTTTACGTGCTCTCCGAGGCACGGGGGTGAAACACCGCCAACTTCCCAACTCCGGGCTGTTACTGAGGCTTACTTATACAGAAAGACTCAATAACTAAACTTGGCCCGACCCGGTGTGCAGCCGTACATGCTAGCCACTACACCACGGAGAAAGTTATATACGTGTAGTGTATAAACTATCTGGTAT